TTGTCAGTTGTTGCTCCTTTTTAAAGTTTCTATTAATTTACTCCTTGTTCTATGAAACAGCAGTAACTTCTTGTATTTGTCCTGAGTTTTTCCTCTTGTGGATCAATTCTCACCTTCCGTGATTTTATGATTTGGTGATTTTTATGAACTTCAACCACATTTTTCCCCAGCTGCTGATGTTCATCTGACACATCCTAATCTTTACATGTCCTCAGATAGTAAACTTGGTTCCTCAAATACCAGATTTTAGTTTCTAAACCCAGAACTTTAAGGTTATATCAGGAATTCAATAATCATTAATAGGTAAGAAGTGTAAATAACCAAAGTTACAATGTTCAAAACTGTACATTTTGTTCAAGGTCTAGTATTGTGTTTTATTTTGCTTCTAACATTTTTCTTAATGATTCCTAAAACACATCATCATCCATGTCAGTACAAAGTTAAACACGTTGAGAAAAAGTTTCTCCAATGAAGCTACGGTGCTTTTTAGGAAAAACAGGGGATTTCAGAGTCAAATATTCTACATGCACAGACTGGATTTTCTCTTTCTTCACTTGTGCTTGAAACAAAATTGTAAGGTGGTTCCACTTCTGGTAATGGCTCTTTAAGTCCCCATCTGACCAACCCTACTGCAGAAGTAACCTTAAATGCTGGACAAAATATAGAACAACTACCTGAAGGCACAGGAAAGTGGTCCAAATCAGGCAGATTCTGGAGAGGAGTCCATCTCCCAGAGGAGGAAGGGAACAGCATTCGGTGAACTTCTGGTCTTTTTTTTTTTAAATAGCTTTTAGCCTGAGAGTAGGTCTACTGTGTGCCAAGTTGGATGACAAGGGTGCAATAAAAAGTCCTGCGTCCTTCTAGCTTAAAGGACCAGAAAGTAGAGTTTGGGGCAACCCAGCTGTTCTAAGGTGAGGAGGGAATTCCAGAGACAGCCAGAAAAGGGGAACTCTGAGTTCCGTGGATAATCTCTGCTGAATCTCTGGTTGACCTCTGAACAACACACATGTAGGGCCAAACCAAGCAGTCCTACTAAGGCCAAAAAAACTTGAGCTGCTGCCCAAGAGACAGAGTATGCAGCCTGAGTACAAACAAGTTAATTTCCTGCTAAAACAAAAACATCAGCACTATCAGAATGCAGTCTCCACAAAAAGTTATAATGTTAAGATCTAAATTTACTCTAGGATTTTAGAAAACAATGTAAAGTTATTCAGCATTTGAGGGAACAGGAAAATGTGACCTATTCTTAAAAGACAATCAACAGGCATAAACTCAGAGGAGACCCAGACTTTGGAATTAGCAATGATTTTAAAGGGGGGAGTTTAACTATTCTCAATGGTGTAAGGGAAAATACGCTCATAATGAAGAAACAAATAGCAGAGAAATAAAAACCATAATAAACAACCAAATAGCAATCTAGAAGTGAAGAATCCCACTCTTAAATTTTACCCTAGAAAAACAAAAACGTATGTCCACGCAAAAGTCAATGTTCAAATGTTTATAGCAGCTTCATTTATAATGTCTCCATACTGGAGATAACTCAAATGCCCATCAACTGGAGAATGAATGAAATATTACCTAACAATAAAAAGGAACAAACTACTGATATATTTAAGAAAATAGTCTGACAATTTCTCATGAGTTAAATGACTGGTGGATGAATAGATGGATAGATATGTGATTAAGACAAGTATAGTAATGTGCTAATGGCAGAAATAAGTGATGGATATACTGGTGTTCATTGTAAAATCCTTTCTAGTTACCTATGCGTGAAAATTTTACAATAAAATAGAACAGAATTATATTCTCTAGAGCTGGTGACTAATTCTGAACAGGCTAATTTTGGGAACATGAGCTGAGAGGTTATAAAAAAGAAAACATATTGGTTATAATCAGCCTACTTATTTTCCAAGAGCTTCCTCCAATTTGCCTTACTAGTAAGTTTAGTATTTACTCGGTAAAACTTCTCTATTTGCAAAGTCGAGATTTTACTTTGTGTTTCTTCTCCAATATTATGTTTAAAAATGTTAAATACTGAATAAGATTGGACTTTGTTATCTCTGGGAAATATTTCATTAAGTTCCTTTTCATTTCCTACTTTTTGGCTCTCATCTTTCAACTACTAAAGAAAAAAGCAATTCCCTAAGGACTCATGATAACAGTTCTTAAGAAGTCTGTCAAATTTTTTTAAAACTAAAATTTAGAAGCCTGTCAATGCCTTTTTCAAAGTCTGCATATTTCATTCCGTGCTTCTCCTTATACACATGTAGAGTCACTGCCCAAGTGCAATATTACAATATGTTCACTTATAAAGTTTTTTGTTGACCCCCTTCCATAGGTTTATATTTGCCTAAGTAGTCAGTGATCCCAACCCTCACCCATCCTACAAGCTCAGTGAGGACAGAAGTGTGCCTTACCAGTGTGTAGTTCTTGGTGTCCTCAGTTTCTGGGCCACAGGCAGGCAAGATTATACGCTTGCTATAGTTTCAAGCTCATCCTTGACGTCCTTTAAAATTCTTGGGTGAGTATCATCCAGTCATGTCATTTTTTAAAGTTTATATTTTATTCAACTTTAAATATATACAACTTCATTTATAAGACCCGTGTCACTTGCCTTAAAATATCCAACCCTAAATATACATAAACTAAAGACTGAAATATTTGCTGAGTTACTGCATGAGGTCATTCAAGTAATATAATATGAAAATTTGGATCACGTCTTACTAAAAATCAGTAAGTTAACAGTGACTGCAGTCATTAAAATCATGACCTTGTCCCAAGAACTTTTATCTTACTGATTATTAAAAAAAGTAGTATTTCCTTTTATTTGTCAAATTTTGGAGAGCTTACAACCAATGGACAGTATCTTTCACTGGATGCATTTTCAATTTGTTCACTACGAGATAAAATATTTATTCTCCTTAGGAAGAAATCCAAATTTTCTCTCAGAATTGTTCAAAGGAAAATTTATTTTTTGGGGGGTGGGTCTAGAGACTTAAAATTAATGATATCACTACAAAAATAAAAATTTTTTGCTACTCCATTTGTATATAATGGGCATTTTTGTGTTTCTTATTATTTGCCTCTGGCCATCAATATTAAATAGTCTATATACAGCACACGTTCTGAAGAGAAAAGAAGTATGAGACGCCACTGGAAGCATAATAGAAATCTCCAACTGAAAAATTACTAACTTCATTTAGTACCTTCAATAAACTGCTTTTCCTCACCTGCTAATTTAATAATCTTTTTGATCACCTTCCTTTCTATAAACGTTCCTCTGAAGATCATAATCTTCTCTATCTTCCTTACCTGGTGATAATCACACTTTTCAGTTTCTCTGTTTTTAAAGTGAGCCCCATCTTTCAGTGAAAAGATCATATATAGTTAAAACTCTTGCCATTAAGATAAATGATCTCACTTTACTAATACAATTATTATTTTAAACACCATTATGTAGGATGTCAAGAAAGTTCAGAGTCCATGCTGGTTTGACTTTTAATTTAAAAATATTCAGCCTATTTTTTCCTCAGTGTTGGGCAAGTCGACCTGACTTTAAGAGTGGTTTGATAGAAACAAGGATAAAGTGCTCCTCCAGGCCTCCCTCTAAAAAAGAGAAGTCTTTAAGGAAGGCTGAGGTACCATAAGGTGCTACAGAACCAAATCTGAAAACTCAGCTGCCTTGTCCCCAACAAACCCTGTGCCACCGTCACCACTGCCACCAACACCAGCACTAGCACCACCGGCACTGGCACCAGCAGTTATCACCACCAGCACTGGCATCACCAGCGCCGGCACCACTGGCACCAGCATTACCAGCACCACTACCAGCACCAGCACCATTACCATCCTGGGCATTTTACGGAGACAACTGAGATAAAATGATTTGCCCAAGGCTGCAAAATTAGTAGCCACACTGGGACCTTCTAACTTTGTCCTTTATTATTTGACTATAGATGCAACATTTTTAAAAATTAGGAGCTATCTTTCAAAACGTGCAAAAGAGTTTACATGCACAATGCAGCAAGTTAGCAGCAGAAAATACACAAACACAACAGAACCTAATGTAGCTGGGTTCATATCAGCACATCTGCCTGTCATTGCTCCTGCTGACTTCAGTGCTCCTATGAGGAGAAGGAAGAAAGATGAGCCTTCATCTTGCCCAGAATATTGGCTCTGTATTAATGATGTAAGCAGATTCTGTCCAGCACTAATAGTGCAGCAAATTAGAGCATCAAAATATAAATTAAATTATAAGTATTTATTTCTGGATAATGGATCTTTGGTAACAGCTTTGGTAACAGGAAATAGAACATAAAATAAGTTATTCACATGAGACTTGGCTAAAAATCACATTTGTACTCTGAAACAGAAACATGGGCAATTCAATGAAATGAATGGACAAATAGTACTATTTTCTCCATTTGACAGAGCAGAAAACATTGAATGACTTGTTTAAGGTCACACACACAAAAAGTGTCAAGATATCAAGTAAGGTTCCAACCCTAACCTACTAGAACACGAACCCTGGGAAGGGCAGACACTGTCTCTCGTGTTCACTGCTGCCAGCGCCAAGCACGGCACCAGGCATCACTGGGATTGATGTTTTTAGTGCACGTGCTCTGAACAGGTATTAGGAGTGCTAACTGTATTTGATGAAAAAGCAAAAATGACTGATAAATGGACAGGAGTCCCCTTTCATACCACCAAGGCGAATCTAATGAAGACCCGAGAAGGAAATGAGTTATAACAACGAAATGCTCACACATTTGACCTGGTGGATTACAGGTCAATATCACGAATGTACCCTGTCAATCTCTAAGATGGCTATTTCCAATTTAACCTTCTTCCTACTACTTATGAGGAATCACAGCAGACAGCACCCCTGAGTCTCATTTTTTTTTCCTCATTGACTTTTATATTCCTTACCACACAACTTGAGGAAATGTGTATAGAAAAACTCGGAGCCTCTTCCCACCAGGGATCAGAATCACACAAACCTCTGTCAGTTGCTTCAGCTGAACTTTGTTCTCACTTAATTCTTCTGACAGGTCATTCTTTTTCACTTGGAGTTCAGCAATTTCTTTTCTTAATGGATTCACTAGTTCATAGAACCGAATCTTGAAAAAAAAATCGAATTAATAAATAGTTCTGAAACCCAAATTACAATTAAAGTTTGCTAATTAATAATACTCTCAATTATCAGTAGTATCAGGAAAGTATTAAGGTAAAGAAGGAAAGGAATGCCAGGGACTTTCAGATTACACACTTGTATACTAAAGTTTTGTTGTACAAAACTGAAACAAACAGTTAATTGTTTCTGACCACTAATACTTTAGTAAGTCTTAATGTTCAATGAAGTCCCCTCAAGGCCTGGATTATCTATGACTCCCCACCCTGACACAGTCTCTCTTTCCTCTGTTCCATCAATACTCCATTTTCTCCTCTCTCATCTTCTACTACTGTTCACACTATCAGCTAGTTATCTCCAGAACACATAAAGAGTTCAAGAGTTTTGCTCATACTGTTTCCTCTGTTAGAAAAGCTCTTCCACATATAAATGTCTGGCTCCTGCTTTCACTCCCTTTAAGTCTCTGATTAAACATCACCCTATTAGTAAAACCCTCCCTGATTCCCCTAACTTGATTTAAGTTAGCATCCCCTACCCTCTGATGGCAGTTCCTACCCTTCATCCCTGCTCTTTTCCCCAGTGTTTATGACAGAAATTCTACACATTTCACTTTTAATTTATTGTGTGTTGGCCCACTGGAGTGTAAGCTCCATGAGGACAGGAATTTTCGTCTGGTTGTCTGGTTTGTGCACTGCTTTAGCTCTGGTGCCTAAATATATGAAAAGCCTATACCCTTGGCTATTGGTGAAACTCTACACGCTACCACTGCCATGGAAGGGATAGTCAGGATGAATCAGGAGGTATCTTTCATGTCACTATTCCTTCCAGTAACCTCTCCACCCACCCGTAATTCTCTCAGGGGAATTTGCTGGCCCTAATTTTAAAGTGTTCCATCTGATGAATTCCTATAAAACTAATCTATCGGCAAATTAGCAGATGGTAATTAGGGACTATTTATTGTATAGACAATCCAAAACTCCTTAACGTATTGCTGTATTGCATGAGTACCATATCTGGTAAGAGGCAAGTCCTGAGGTCAGTACTTAACACGATGAATCTGCGTATCATTAACTAGTTAGGACTACTGTCTGAAAACAAAAGATATGACATGGAACATTAACAAACCAGAGAGCAGAAACACGTATCACTGCCACTAATGGGACACTTTCTGTCTGCTATGGGTGAGGCCGCAATGACAGCACTTGAGATATTTAATTGGTTTTGGACAGTTCTTTGGGTAGAAAAATTGTATCGGAGCTGTTTAAATGAAAAGCTGAACAAGAAGACAGTACTCCGTTTTATAGGAAATCATTATTCTGGAAGCCTATCCAAGTGAGAACCAAGAGTAGCAACCACCGCTCCAGCAAAAATAATAGGTAATATTTATTATGTGTTTCCTCTGTTCTAAGCATAGTTTAAGCATTTTACATACATACTCAGTTAATCTTCACAATGACCTCAACAGAATGGTGCTGTTATTATTATTATTAATCCTCTTACAGATGAAAAAATTCAAGCCTCTTAGGGTAAAATGACATCTATAAATCACAGACCCATAGTCCTCAATGTGTGAATGTGTGCTCTTGGGACCCAGGCCCCACCCTGCCACACTGAAGCCCTTTTAGAAAATCTGTATGATCAAAACTATTTTCCTAGCAACACTAAGATTTTCTGCCTGTTTTGCTCTTATTCTCTTATGCCTGACAAGTGGCCTTTGCCAGTAGCTACTTGATGTGTGATGGTATCTATGCCCTTAAGGCTAATGAAATGTATGCTTCTGTATTCATGTTTTTAGACAATATCTCAGCTTTAATTTCTAACATGGTAAATATGAACAGATATAGTCCATATAAAAAGAAGCTCTTTGGGGTCCTCAATAATTTTTAGAATGTAAAATAGACACTGACACCAAAAAAATTTGAGCCCACTGACATAGACCAATTCCGTGTATAGATTTGTGTAACCAACACAGCAGTCAAATCCATAAAGATCTCCCCCCAGCTCCCCCTTTCCATCATGCCCACCCCCCCTCCTCTGCTATCCCTAAGCCCTGGCAACCACTCATCTGGTCTCTCTACAATTTTTCATTTTGACAACGTTACAAACCACCTCAGTTTATGATAAAATAATTCATTTCTCTGGATTATCCAGCCATAACTTCAGAGCCCTATTTACTGCTGGACTTTGGAGACCAATGGTTGAGATCCTTTAAAATCTGGTGATCTGAATACCATTCACCATCTTCAGATTGGGGCCATAAAATAACTTACCCATTAGGTACCTCAAAAGTTACGGCTACTATGTAAATGACAAACTTCAGTTTGAAAATACATGCAGCTTTTTTTTTTAATATGATACAAGACACTTACAGATACATATTCAGGAATGGAAAGCTGATCTTCGGGAAACCCTTTTAGTTTCATATATTGCTCTTCTGTCAGCTCAAAGTCACGCAGGTTTCGACGAATATCTCCAGCTTTCTCTCTCAGCTGAAGATTCGTCTCTTCTAGCTGTTTCTGTCTCAATAAAATAGTTTCCATTTCTTGTTTCATTAGTTCTTGATATTTCCTACATTAGGAGAGAAAGCATATCAAGCTTAACAAAATCTTTGAGATTTGATTTTCTCAAAGTTACTTTTTTACAGTAACATAAACTTAAGAAACGAGACGCTTAATAGTATTTTTGGCTCCAGCTAAATGCTTATTTACTTAACTAGTTAAACATGAAATGACAATGCTACACTAATTACTAAATGGGCAGCTACATAAATCATTAAATAAAAAACTGATATTCTTAAAAAATAACTTTTAAAAGTCAAATTATAAAATTACACATTTCTTCTGCTTAAGGTTTAAATCTTATATACCTGTTTTGGACCCTACTCATTAAAGTCAATTTCCATTTGTCTTTATCCAGGTACATCAAAGTATACCTCTTTAAGGCAGCAACACTGAATCACCATAATGTATTCATTCAATGAATGAGGTAATGAAAATAGTAATCCGCATATAATCATCTTTCTCGAGGAATACATGTAGTAGACAGTTGTTGCCTACCCAAAGATTTTGAGCAGAAAGGGACCATCTGATTTTCCCTTCTCCCTGCTTCACTCCCATCAGCATACAAACATGCTGTTATTTGTTCTATCTTAAAACAAATGAACCAAAAAAAAAAACCCACAATTTTTGACTCCATGTCACTGCCCCTTGTTTCTCAAAAGTTGTCTATACACACGCTTTCCAGTGCTTTTCCTCTTAAACCCAGGCTCATCAGGTCCCCACCCTTCTACCAAAATTTCAAGGTCATCAATAATATCCAGATTGCTGATGATCAATTCTCAGCTCTCTGCATCCCTAATGATAGCACTTGGGACATCTGGTCTCTCCACCCTTACACACTTTTAACACCGTATTTTCCCCTCTTCATTTTCCTCCTTTTTTGTTGGCTGCATTTTCTGTCTTTTTATCTAGTTTGTCTTAATGTTGGCGTACTCAGTCTTCTCCTCTGTGTTCATTCCCTTGGGGAATTCATCCAGTCTTGTGACCTAAATACCATCTATATCCTAATGACTCCCAGATTTAAATCTCTAAACCAGTCTTCCCACATACCTCCACATGGATTCCTAATACGACAACTGTAATTTAACGTGTTCCAAATTAAACTGCTCTTTACTCACAAACCTATTCCACTGTGGTTTCACCATCTTAGTTGACAGCAACTCTATCCTTTTATTTATTCAGGCCAAAAATGTTGGTACAATCCTCCATTCCTCTTTTTCTCTTAAACACACATCTAATCCATTAAGACATACTATCAGCTCTAATCTTCAAAATATATTCAGAATCCAATCATTTTTTACCACTACCAGTTATCAAGAGGATTATTGCAATGGCTTTTAACTGCTCTCTCTACTTTA